CTCGATTCGGGGTCCCGCCAAATAATGATAGCGGTTTCACGAACGGTGCGCCTTCTAGCCTAGCTGGAACTGGGTTGCCAAAAGACTGGTGGACAAAGCAAGAAGTAGTCAAGGTCAATATCCTCGGCCCACAAGGGTTCATTTTAAATCGATATATGGTGTACGAGATTGTTACAAATGTGGGCATTTTTGCTATAAAATATACTAATTTTTTACTAAAAATGAGCAATAGAGAGGTGCACCTGTGCACCGAAGATACTCAGAGTTTGCGTTCTTATGGGATTGTTTAATAAGACGATACCCATTTCGATTGTTCCCTGCACTTCCACCGAAAAGGTTAGGGTGTAAGTTACCTCTAGTTCACAGCCATTACTATGTTGAATATTAATCATCCACCACAGCTGATGAACACTTTTTGGAACAAAGAAGGTAGGTTGCTCTTCCGTTCCCGGATTGTTCTGACCTTGAATACTTACAGAAAAGGCCTAGCAAGATCCCTCAATTTTGTCATGTGAGATATGTCCTCACTGCTTTGTGTACCCAGCTTTCATGGTTAACCGTCTAGCAATCATCCAATTATCAAAGAAGACGGTCTTCTAGCAGTGTTTCTATCTGAGCCCTCGTTTGAACTTTGGCGAAAGAACTCTGCCATTTCTTTCGACGAAGAATCTGCATCCAAACGTATAGACAGAATTGAGGAAATGACGATCCCCAGCGATCTCGAAGACAAACTCGCGTATGTGGCACCTTTCCATGACCCCTTCTCGATTTTCACCGTGTACAAAAACATCTAACGTTTCAATCAGCATGGTCCGAGGAAAGCTAAACCCTCTTATAGAGCAATGGCAGAGAATATGCATCCTTGCAGAGCGTATCATAAAGCGGCGAGAAGCAGCAGCGGTACGGATACCTCCTGCCTTCCGAAGAACCTACTTCCCGACTCACTTCTCTGTCTTCTCTTCTTCTTCGGCTGTTTCCGTTACTCCATCCTCCTCCTCTATACTTTCCTTTGGGTCGAATACACTATCACCTGGGTCATTAATTGTCAATTCTGGCTCCACATTATATCACCTCATAACCCAGGGTGACCTAGCAAGACTCACTAACACCCTCCGGGCAGTTATTGAAGTCAACGAACATTGCTGGAGAGGAGATGAATGCGAACTCTCTAATGGCGTACGCACGGGTCTCGAGCATGTTGCCGCACACACACAACGGCATTCTGAATTATCAGAACTACGGGTGAGGTTTTTTCTACGTTAAAGCACGGCGCATTTATTCGCGAAACAGACACGCACTCTATTGGATAGCACTCTGGAATCCATAAAAGTGAGTTTGGGTGGCCGCTGACACGAATAATATATATATTTTAAACTCGGCTAATTATATTTAGTCTCAACGAGATCTCTATATTGCGACACGCGATCTTTTTATACGACACGACCGGCTCTCCATCGATCAAGTTGAGCGCCTCAAAAGGCGCGTTGAGACCAATTCTGTTAAGCTTGATGGCATTCGGGCTGCGCAAAAGGAAGGTTGGGAAGAAGAGGTCGAGAGATACACGGGTCTAGTGGAAAAAGACCAGGCCTCGATAGCTACTCAGCTTAGTCGGCGAGTATTCATCCGTGCTTCGTGAGTTAATTGTGTCTTCCGCGCAATTTTGCCACCCCTGACTTGGGTCCCAGGATGTGGCACGAACTCCGGGTAGTGTTGCATAACCGCGAGAACACCCTTCTTACCCAAACAGTCCAAAATTTCGTACGCGAAGAACAAGACTTTTCAGAAAATGTGGCAAATAATTGGGCATCGCTCGGTGAGGCTGTGGAAAGTATGCCCTTTGAATAAGTATGCGAGTGGCACCCTCCGTCCTCCTCTACCTGTACAGCTCAGTAAACCATCTACGAATATCTATGCTTCATGATCAACGTTTAACAACGATAATATGTAAAGGCCGCCGCCGCGCCCGGCCCAAGTCAAGAGAAATGCTGAAGTCATCTCGCGAAAGTGGGGAAAAAAGTCTACCCTCGACAACCTATACGACTTCCTGTTATTCTGGAAGAGGTGATTATTTCAGACTTTCCAAACAGTACAGGACACCGCTCTACTTTGTATTTGACAATATACATTCAAGTCCCTATTCAGACACATACAGCAAATTTTCGTCCTTGCCTTATCTTCTTTTCTCGACGAGAATAATGTTTACGGTGCCCGAGGAAAAGGCATATGAGGAACAATGCCTGGTCGTCCAACGGACACCCCAAGATCATATACCTGACCTGTCTCTAACTCATACACGAATCCGTGGATGAAGACCCCAGTGGCAGATAAATCTGGACTGTTAAACTTCTGAATGGTGATATAGATGTTAAACGCGCAAGACAAGGAGCTTATGGAAGGACATACCTCCGTCATCAATTCGGAGGTCGCAATACGAGCGACCTGGGCTCTAACATTCTCCTCAACAAGAGCGCGCGCCGTGCTGTACAGCGCTGGATCCCTGGAGTATGCTATGAACCTGTAATCATGATCCTCATTGGCAGGATCTTCAACCGGGATTGGCGCCTTGGCTTCGCGGTAAGAGGCAATTTCAGGCCTAAAACACCATGATCTTTCATCTCAGGTACCCGATGATGATGGCGACGACCGCATACCTTTCGGTTGTTTGATAAATTCTTCTAATCGGCGCGATGTATTCATGAATAGTTATACCAGCGGCGGAAATATCACCCTTAGGGGGTGATGCAATTGCAGCGGCGACACCTCCACAACCATAGTGCCCCATGACAATAATGTGATCCACTTTAAGATTGTCTACAGCAAAGGAAAGAACAGATTTTCTGGGTGTGAAGCCATGAGCCCAAACCGGTGCATTCCAAGGTTGATGGACTTACGTGTTCAAGTCTTGCTCATTGAACTGGTTGGCTATATTGGCGGAGGAAAATATATTTCCGAGAGGCACAGAGAAAACTAGCGATCCCGGCAACCTTGCGGAAACAATTAGTTGTGTTGAGGGGCCTACACAAAGTCTGGTCAAGGCGTTGGCCACACCTGCTGTCGGCACAGTTAAACAAAAGAAACGGTGGTTCTATAAGATCCAAAATCCAGGTTGATAATCCGACAATTCTGTATAGGAGAAAAATATACTCCTACCCTGTTTATCAATTCGGACGTGACGGTCGATGTTGGATGGTTCGTTACCATGCATGAACCGTTGATTTCCGTCGTATAGGTCTTGAAGTGTAAGACGTGGCTGGGACATCGTGATTGTGCACAATGTAAGATGATCTAGATACGCGAAAATATTCCACTACTGATGGGAGCGAGGGTAGAGACCGGTGAGTCGTACTAGGACAAATCTCAACATACTTATAGTTGGAGCTACACTCAAGCCCACCACCCCGAATTGAAAGACGTGCCTTGTGACTGGAGCGGCGCTAGCATATCTAGATCCCGAAGAACGTAAGAAGCTCAGCATTCAAATTCTGGATTAGATTTCCAAGTGCCGGCCCACGCCTGTACTATCCATCGATAATCGATATGTCACAAAACTCCATCCTCGGGATACACGCTAAAGAGGTGTAATTATACTTCACCATATCATGTCGACGGCTTCGAAGGACCAAAATAACGTCACAGCCGAGTATTAATACTATTATGCTATTACTTCACTTCATGAATGCCATAATGGTGCCAGAAGCGGTGTAGTACTTCTAAGACTGTGGTTATTTGGCTGATCATCGGCTGCACATTAAGAAACCACTCAAGACGTGTCATTTAGAGTTCGCTGAGGTGAGTTGAACGATAATTACTAAAAAAAAACCATGTCTCTCTTTCATGGCCTCGAGGCATGGCACCTAACCATATCAGTCGTGCTGTCATGCATATAGGGTTCACCGTTTTCTGACACTGATGAGAGTGGCGTCAACACCATTGTCCAACTTTCCCGATTTTCTTATTAAATAATATATTAGAAGTGCAATTCACATCTGACTCCATAAAAGAATGGTGAAGGATTCCTATGGTAAAAAACAGTTTGTGCGCACAAGGTTTTGACTGCTCTCCGAGCATGTCAAGACAACAGTGATAATGCGAACTGTGTTCCACCCCTGACAGTCACATTAGCTATCATAAAGAATCAAGATCCGTGAGTTTCTCCAACCTCAAGGCCTTATCACAAGGTCGACAAATGTAGTTCCGTCTGGCATCAGCTGTCGAGTTGGGGTTTGGCACTGATTATATGTGATTGATTATACATAGTGACCATTCTCGTGGGGTGCTCGAAATATGAGGTTCCAAAAAGGGAGTGGCCCGCTGACTCGAGGAAGGATTTTGGTAGAGAATTGAGGACCCCAGAACTGTACCACTATTCGACTCCGTGAACCGCTGGGGACTCGAAGTATGCATCACAGAAGCAGAATGTGCCCTGCTGACTTGCTTTAGAATTTCGTCGATCATTGTCGAGGCGCTGAAGTTTTATCGCGCAGTACTCAGGTGATTGGTCCAAAATACTACCATGACATAACTGTAGTATTTGGCGCTTCAATGGCTTCTGGACCTGAGAGTATTAGATTAATTATAGGTCAGTATACATCGTGTGGCAGAAGCCGACATCATTGTAGGGGGGTATGCTAATATGAGGATGAGAGTGCTAGAAGTGCAACCGATTATCCGCTGTGGTTCCGTATTCGTTTGGCGGTCTCTGGGATTTTCATAACTTGCCGCTCTTGCTGTAAACAGGTGCCCCTTGCGGTAGGTTAGCTCATCATGATCCGTCTAGAAATCCTATCTTCTGATTATTCGTTGCGCATGCGAAGCGGGGCGAGTCCGAGTCGATTAGATTTTATCACTGTTGTAAGATTCGATACATGGCAAGGAGTAGGAAGATTCCTACATATTTGGATGTAGTCAAAGGAGCATTATTATCCAAACCAGTGAATAGTCCTTATCATACATAATTTTTGGTCCACAATGTCAGTTTTTGTCCTACGTTTTTGCCATATTCCTTGTTAGTATATCGGTTTAGTACACGCGCCTGTCACAATTATCGACTGATCGCGCGAGAGCTGGGTTCGACTCCCAGACAGGGAGATTTTTTTGAATCAAATTTCATCTCAAGATGTGGTGACCACCAGACGAAGCCCAGTGAGAATCAAGCATTGAAATCATAGACGGCAGCATAATGGTGGTTACCTTTCAAATCTTGATATTAAATCTAGTATTTGTATCATTGTGTACACCTAAAATTCATAATGTGGATTTTGAGATATATCAACCTTTGTTGGAGGGGTAAATGTTAATCTATGATACGCTTAGTTGCTGGGCGCGGTTTCTATAAAAAGGGGCTCACAAGAGTTGTGACTAGGCCGCACAGGTATTTGTTGACTTCCTGGCACAGCGTGTGTGTTCGAACCTGAGAGGGGAGAGGGTAATGTCACTCTTGAGAATTGGGGCCGATAGGTCGGGCGTGCACTTACTGGTAGTTACCATATTTCCACCGGATGTGCGAACTGCCTCATCTAAAAATGAGCAATACGGCTTTAAAAGGCACTTTGATTCCAATTCCCATATCGTCCCCACCGCAATCCTATCTCGGATAAGGTTCATGGGGATGGGCGCCTTCTGCCTCATCACTGTATACACAACTTCCAAGCCTTCTCTTGGGACTGTCTTTACACCCCTCTCTAGCCGCCTTAGCGAATTGAGGTAGACATCGGCAGGTTGGCAGTATATTAGGAACAATCTCCTAAGATACCGGGCCGAGTTCAGGAGATTGCGGAAGGTCATAACTTCTGTGCCGTCCCCGCTGTAGCGCCATCGAGGCTCGATAAGTGCAAATTGCATGAGGTGAGGCATCTGGGCGATAGCGTGGATGAAGCTGTCATCAACGAGGGGTCCGTCGAGGACTAGGCGACGGAGAAATTTCCAGCCTGGGCAGAATGTGAATGGAGGCGGAAAGAGTTGCATGGGGGAGTAGCCCCAACGCATGAACTCCTCAAGATGGTTGCAACGTTGGAGGGCATGTCGTATGGGCTCAGAGTGATCGATGTGGTTGCTGGGGACATCGAGGGCGAGGCGGCGGAGGAAGGGGCTGAGGACTAGAAGCAGGTCTGCAATAGCGGAGAATAGATGCTGGGGTAAGGAGCGCACCCAGAGAGCTCGTGAGTGGCTGCGTACGGTGGGTGAGGTGTGCAGGAATGCCACGAGAGTATGTTGATTAGAGATGATGATTGAGGAATAGAGAAATGGAGTACTGATGGAATGGAGAAGGCGGCTGCACTGTACGAGCTCACACAGAGCCCTGAGGACATCTGGGCTATGGCCGAACTGCAGCTGATATTCTGGCACCGATAACACACGTACGATCTCCTGGATCAGTTCAACGGGGAGGTGCATTTGGGTGGTGCTGATAGAGGACCTGTGTAAACTGCAGGAGACTGATTGTTTACAATCTGGCGCTTGTATGTGCTATATGAGGCCTGTGAAAGGTTATTTGAACGCGTGGTGGAGGCGTGCTTCCCCGATTCTGAATTTCAGTGGCATTGTACATGTCATTGTCTGGGATTAAGTCACCATAACCACGTGCTTGTATTTTCCGCGACGCGTCGCGACTAATTTCGGCAAAGCCTTTCTCCGAATTTGCAATATGTGCACTAATGATCAGTTAAACTCGGGGGAGATGCTTGTATGAAGTGCCCAATGCCAGACACAGAATGGCAACGGCTGAAAGGGGGAGTGCGCTAGTCTCCTTGGGCTTATCCAAATGACTCCTCTCATTTCGTGTCGGCCTTCAATCCGCCCTCACAGCCATTGCTGTAATAATGTGAGTCCCATAGTCGGGACTGGCTATAGATAGCTTGAGATGGTGGTGTATGGTGGGAGAATATTTGAGGAATAATGATGTGGTTTCCATTGGGTTTCCATTTTAGATGTCCGTGGAATTTCAACTATGCCAACCAATTTGACAAGGTACTGGATAGTAGAAATGCAGAGAATTCGTCCAGGACGTATGATGAGGGTGTAAGTAGCAGAGCCTGGCCAAGAATGTCGAAGGAACCGAGGATATGGCATAATAAGCTCGCGTGACCGGTGTGACACGGAAATTTATTGTGTGACAAAAGTTACTCATCCACAACTAGCCTCATCAGCACTACCTGCGAGCTGCCAGTCATTCGAGCTATACGCATATAATTATCCGCGCGGGCGCTTCTAATCACCGTTTAACCTCTGACTCTCACTCTGATATCGGTCTATCAGTACTGGCTAATCTGTCCAACTTTCCTTACTAATTCCGTCCTTCTTCCCTTGACACGCATCATCGCCTCCCACACTCCGTACCTGGGTACCCACCATCATGTCTGGCTTGTTCAGCAATCTCTGGGCTGGATCCCCTCTTTCTGCTTCCCTTTCTCAATCCCAAGGCTCCTCTGAACACCTTATGGAGGCCTCCAAGAGCGGCCCTCTCGATGAAAGGCTTTCTGACAAATGTGAGCTGCGAATACAGGGAATGACCTGTGGTTCATGTGTGGAGGCACGTACTACCCGATTTTAACGAGCCCTAGATTATGTTAATTATTATTAATTTTGTCTGAATTTATCCCATAGGCCATCGAAGGCATGCTCAGAGAACAGAAAGGCATCCACTCAATCAAGGTTGCTCTTCTCGCAGAGCGCGGCGTTATCGAATACGATCCTGCCTTTTGGACCGTCGATAAACTAGTCAATGTCAGTAATACAACTTGGAGTCTTTTTCGATGCTCATCGGGCTTTTCAGGAAATATCTGACATCGGCTTCGATGCTACCTTCATTCCACCTGTCCGTGCCGATATCGTGACTCTCCGCATATACGGCATGACATGCGGGTCTTGCACGTCCACAGTAGAATCGGGCCTTTCCTCTGTCCCAGGAATCACATCGGTTGCCGTCTCGCTAGCTACTGAAACATGTACTATCCACTTCGACCGTTCACTCATCGGACCCCGTGAAATGGTCGAGCGGATCGAAGACATGGGCTTTGATGCTATGCTTTCTGACCAGCAGGATGCTACCCAGCTCGAATCCCTCACCCGTACCAAGGAAGTTCTCGAATGGCGATCCCGCTTCCTCTGGAGTCTAACCTTTGCTCTCCCTGTGTTTTTCATATTTATGGTTGGCCCTCACATCCCATACATCAAAGATTTTCTTGCCTTCCGTCTATTCCAAGGGATATATGTCGGAGACGTTCTCGGTTTACTAATCACCACCCCCGCTCAATTCTGGGTGGGTGCTAAATTTTACCGGAGTGCTTACAAATCTCTTAAGCACGGATCTTCGACGATGGACGTCCTCATTATGCTCGGCACATCGGCTGCCTATTTCTATTCTCTGTTTGTTATGGTCCTTGCAATGTTCAATACCACTCCCAATTTCCGCCCTTTCCTCTTCTTCGAGACAAGTTCAATGTTGATCATGTTCGTGTCACTGGGCCGCTTCCTTGAGAACAGAGCCAAAGGACGCACTAGCGCTGCTTTGACAGATCTCATGTCACTCGCTCCTTCCATGGCAACAATTTACACTGACGCACCAGCTTGTACACAGGAAAAGAAGATCGCGACCGAACTTGTCGAAGTCGGCGATACAGTCAAACTAGTGCCAGGAGATAAAATTCCAGCTGACGGAACAGTTATTAAAGGGTCTTCAAGTGTTGACGAAAGTGCTATAACAGGCGAAGCCTTGCCAGTGCTCAAACAGGTGGGCGATATTGTAATTGGAGGCACCGTCAACGGACTCGGGACATTTGATATGGTTGTCACGCGAGCAGGGAAAGACACTGCGCTCTCACAGATTGTCCGCCTCGTCGAGGAGGCACAGACATCCAAAGCGCCTATCCAGGCATTCGCGGACAAGGTCGCGGGCTACTTCGTACCCACGGTGATCTCTCTGGCAGCGCTGACATTCTTCGGATGGGTAATTCTCTCAAGCCTGATCAATGAAGAGAGCCTGCCGATGATGTTCCACAAACATGGTGCCAGCAAAATTGCCGTGTGTCTGCAGATGTGTATCAGTGTGGTAGTGGTTGCGTGCCCATGTGCACTAGGACTTGCCACTCCAACAGCGATCATGGTGGGCACGGGGATGGGAGCGAAGAACGGGATTTTAATCAAGGGCGGCCGCGCGCTGGAGGCGAGTAAGGGAATCAAGCATGTAGTGATGGACAAGACAGGCACGGTGACAGTGGGAAAGCTTAGCGTGGTTGGGATTCATTGGGTGCCCAGTGGCGGGAATAGCGCAGGCAATGTCGAGCTGTATGCCGGTGACACTGGGTTGGAAGGTGTATGCGCCGATGGTGTGACGAGCAGGAGAGAGATAGTGGCAATGCTCAGTGTTGCAGAGGCTAAATCAGAACATCCCCTTGCCAAAGCCATCGCTGTGTATGGGAAAGACTTACTTGGGGCTGGTGGTCCAGAGGCTGTGGTTGAGACGTTCGAGAGTGTTACGGGCGCAGGAGTCAAGTCGCTTGTTACATGTGCCGGACGCAAATACACAATGCTCGTCGGGAGTGCACGGTTCGCCACTCAATCCGAGGATGGGTACGTTCCGAGCTCCCTCTCACGCTATGAAGATCAAGAGACGAGACTCGGAAGGACAATTATCTATGTGTCCATTTTCCCGAAAGCAATGTCTGCGCTGCCACTACCTGTCCTGGCAATTTCATTATCCGACGCACCCAAACCGTCCAGTCGACATGCTATTAAGGCATTAGAGGCGATGGGGATCGAGGTGAACATGATGACTGGTGATGGGAAGGCAACAGCGATCGCCGTGGCAAAGCAAGTGGGAATCAGGCCTGAGAATGTTTGGGCAAGTATGAGCCCCGGAGGTAAAGCTTCCATGATCGACGAAATGATAGAGAAATACGGCGATAGTGTTGCAATGGTATGTTTTAATCCTATGTAATTGTTGAGGAAGGTGCTAACTATAACGTCAACATAGGTGGGCGATGGAATCAATGACAGTCCTGCCCTTGTTGCGGCCACAGTCGGAATTGCATTATCTTCCGGAACATCAGTTGCAATTGAAGCTGCCGACATCGTCCTTATGCGGTCAGATC